ATTATTAGGGGAAGCGATTACTATGCTACCTTCTGTTGGATGTTTTATCATTCCTCGGAATGCTAGACCCTGTATAGATCAGCCCTAGATGTCTCCTAATTACTTTTAGCTACACACTCTAACGACCACCAAACGATTGGCTTTCATCCGCTCTGAGCAAAGCGAGAGACAAGACTTCCAGGGTCCGAACCACCCCTTAAAAAACACGTAATCCCTAGGCCCTCAGCCGAACGAATGTGTATAATACACACCTAGAGCCCCGCAACAACAACAAACTCACCAAAGATAAATCTCGCTGCTTTAAAAGATTTGAAAGCCCAGGCTCCTCGCGCTCCGGCTTCATCCCCGGGCGCGGGCCATGCGGTGGCGGGTGCGGCGGCACTTTCCGCCATGGCTATCCTGTCAGCCAAGAGCAGGAGTGGCCCTTCAGTTCGTTCTCGGGGAGTGTCTTACAAAGGGGTTCAGGGACAATACAGCGCTGGCCTAACTGAGTTTTCTCGTGTGATCTTAGGAGGGGAATCTCGAGATTGTGAGAGAGATTGCGGGGCTGTCTCAGAGATTGTAGGCATTAAGGGCGTAGTTGGGCAGAACGAGTTCTTGCGGGATACGCTGGGGGTTGTAATGTTGGGCATGGGTGAGGCGCTTGAAGCATGACTGCTTGAGGCAGCTCTGAGAGTCACTGACCACATGCTCCACTTCATTATTAGCTGATCTTTTTCCATGGGCTTCTTCCAGTGGAGCAAGATGAATCGACAATCCACTTTGACGACGTTTGACGTTCTGCCCCTGCAGGGGATTGAATTCAGTGACTCTCTTGTTTTTGATCCACACAGCTAGGTTTTTGTCAGTTGTAAGTTCAATTTTCGAGTAATGCGCACGGCCTCTACGCGTTGTTGAATTTGCGGTATTCGCACCTCACATGTGTTAGGGTCTTGGTTTTGAATCAATGTTTGGTTGATAGATGTCTTTGGAACCTTTTCTTTATCAGCGCAGGATTTCCACTCAGAAGCAAATGGCCCTGCAGCAAAACCCTATACACAATTCGTGGGCCTTAGTAATGGGACTGAGGACTCCAGGGTCCTCTTATCATCAAGCACTCATGTCCCAAGTATTACAGAGGATTTCAGCATCGTGTGTCCTTCTGTCTTCATACTTATTGTATTTGCAGATGAAGTGAAGCGGCCAAGCTTGCCTTGCCAACCTCATGTCTCCGTTTTCAAGATGCACTTTAACAGTCCCTTGAGCAACCGATCTAGCCTGGGCTCGGAAGATGATCTGCAATCTCAAATGAAATTGTTGTCGGCTCTACCCTGCCATCACGCTGCAGACAAAAAAACGCAACTTTTTGACTTTGATTTGCAGAATCCGTGTTGAATATGCGCGTAGGACTTCAGTAAGCCTGAAATTCTTACCATCTTACATGCTTCTACATTCTTAGGCACACACACCGCCTCCACTTCTCTTTCTCTCTCGTGAGTGAGCCGGGGACCCCGTTCGAGGG